AACATCATTTCTCAAAACATTTTCTCTCCATTTAAACCCCCGACATTAGGTCCTCATTTTTCCCCTCCCTCCCCGCTCCCCCCTCCCACATGAGCACTTCCTATGCATAAAAAGCACCTAATAATGACAAATGCCATAGTTCAGTTTGTTTTTTAACTTGTTGTTTAATGTATTGTGAATTGGGTAGGCTTTTTATTCCTACCCAATTTTAGGATTGCCAGTTTTGTATTCAACAATATAAGCAACTTATCAAACTCCCCAATGGCTTGCCTGCCCACCCTCTCCTTGATTTCTCATTGCCCTCCTGTGGAGGACTGGCGTCCTTCCCCCCACGTTGTTCTCATCTGTCTGACCCCCGTCCAGTGCTTCACCTCTTCTCCCTGGCCTTCACCCAACCATTAAAGTCTGTTTCTTTTGTTGTGAAAACCTTTGTCTTGTTCTTTTAGAAAACTTTCTGATTGAAGTACAGTTAAATTATTCCAGGTTTATAATATTTTGAATATGCTGAAATCGAATGCTATTATAAATGTTGCTTATAAACTATAAGGCTTTTTAGATCCGTGATGCTTAAAAATATGGGCCAAATAAGGGCAAATTTAAATATGAATAAAGGAAAGAGATGGTAGACTAGTCTACCCCTTCCCTGGTGGTAGGGATTTCATGAAGGACCCATTTTACATACCTAATTAAGATTATGGAGCTCTGGTGGTGTAGTGGTTACACAATGGGTTGCGATCCATATGGCCAGCAGTTCAAAACCACCAGCAGCTCTGAGAGAGTAAGACTGGGCTTTCCACTCCTGCAAACAGTTACAGCTTCAGAAGCCTACAGGGGGTCACTATGAGTCAGCCTTGAAGCCAGGCCCTCCCTGTCCCATCCTCACAATCAATGCTATGCATGAAACCACTGTTACAGCTTCTATGTCAATATATTATGCTGAGGGTCTTCTTTTTAAGTGACTTTCTACTTAAACAAGCATGATGTCTTATGATGGGGACTGGCCTCACCTCAAAATACGTCCAGAGTACAAGTCGTACTATCTTTATATCTACGGTGCATTCTGTTTGTACTTCTTCCAAGAGATTCATTCATTCTTCTGGAAGTTCATGGTACTTTCAATATTCTTCACCAATACCATAATTCAAATGGATCAAATTTCCCCTGTTCTTCCTTGTTCGGTTTCCCTCTTTCAAATGCATATAAGGTGACTGAAAATACCCTGACTTGGGTCAGACACATCTTAGACCCCAAAATGACAACCTTGCTCCTTAACTCACTTCAAAGAGCAGATCTAACACCTGTGCAGCAGATTCCTTTTTATAGCAGTCCTATAGCTTCTGAGACTGGGCATCTGTATGGGAGCAGAGAGACTCACCTTCTTCCAAGCAGTGGCTGCTGGGTTTACATCACTGACTTTGCAGTTAGCAGTCCTATGCCTAAGCCACATCACCGCCTAGCAGGACGTCCTTGGGTCAGATTAATACACTAGACAGCTGCTCAGAGGGCACGTCCTACCTTTAGTTTCCGCACAGCATCTCTCACAACTTCTGTTCCTTTGGGCTGCTCCACTTCTGTACTGCCAAGAAACTGATATTTGTGCATTTGTTAGTCACAAAACTACACAATTGTGTATCACTAAATCATTTGAAACTTAAGATATCATAGCATAGTTTAATAGTCATATAAGCTGAAATAGTAATAAAACAGAAAAGTTAGTAGCATTATTTTTAAATGATATAAGAATGACCACATGATCAGATAAAACTCATACTTAAACATTTTTTGAGCCTTCCACTTTTCCTCAGTATCTTACAGATTTTTACTGAAAAGAAAATTAAAGTTACTTTATGAAGCCTAAACCCTAAAGAAAAGTCAATCTTAGATGTAAAAATTTATAAAATTCACATTTAAAATTTATTATCTACATGTTCAAAGTTTCAAAGTGCCTTTTCTTTGTTAAAATACTTGGTCTTCGATAGCACATTTAAATACAATTTGAAATGGTTTAATATTGATTAAATTTCAAATCAATATATTTGGTTTATTCATAATACTCTCATAACATGAAAAAAATTTTAAGACAAAGCTTTTTTTAAATCATTTTATTGGGGGCTCGTATAACTGTTATCACAATCCATCCATCCATTGTGTCAAGCACATTTGTACACTTGTTTCCATCATTTTCAAAACATTTCCTTTCTACTTGAGCTCTTGGTATCAGCTCCTTTTTAACCCCCTCCCTTTCCCACCATCCCTCCCTCTCTCATGAACTCTAGATAATTTATAATTTATTATTTTTTCATGTCTTACACTGACTGATGTCTCCCACTTTCCTGTTGTCCGTCTCCCAGGGAGGGGGTTACATGTAGATCATTGTGATCAGTTCTCCCTTTCTCCCCGACTTTCTCCTTCCCCTCCTGGTATTGCTCCTCTCATTATTGGTCCTGAGGAGTTTATCTGTCCTGAATTCCTTGTGTTTCCAGCTCTGAGCTGTACCCATGTATATGCTCCAGTCTAGCTGGATTTGTAAGGTAGAATTGGGGTAATGACAGTAGGGAGGAGGAAGCAGTAAAGAACTAGAGGAAAGTTGTATGTTTTAAAGGTGCTATACTGCACCCTGACTGGCTCATCTCCTCCTCGTGACCCATTGGTAAGGGAATGTCCAATTGCCTACAGATGGGCAGTGGGTCTCCAATCTGCACTCCCCCTCATTCACAGTGATATGATTTTTTTGTTCAGGGTCTTTGATGGCTCTTACTCGATCCTATTAACACGTCATGATCACACACACAGGCTGGTGTGCTTAAGACAAACCTTTTTTCAACATCTAATATAAACCACCTAGCAAATCTAACGGCAATACAGATTAAAAATGAATTAAAATACGAATACAATTTTATTAAGCTTTGCATCATCCCAGCATGTAGTCTCTGAGGTCTCTCAGTTAAAACCTGACAAATCTCAATGTGGAAACCCCACTAAGTGAACTGGACTCCATCATTCACTTACCTGTAACAGATTTAAGGAACTGACATACTCCCTGAGAAGGATAAAATGCCCTAGAGCAGTGGTTCTCAACCTTCCTCATGCTGTGACGCTTTCATAGTCCCTCATGTTGTGGTGACCCCCCCTCCAGCGATAAAATTATTTTAGTTGCTACTTCATAACTGTAATTTTGCTACTGTTATGAATTGTGAAAGGGTTGTTAGACCCCCCAAAGGGGACATGACCCACGGGTTGAGAACTGCTGCATGTGAGGACTGTATGGAATGGGTAGTCATTGGACTTTAGTTTCAGGGTGGGCAAATGCATGGTGGCCCGGGACTACCATATACTTATTATTTTAAAATGCTCTCCTGTTTTTTTTAAGATGTAAAATCTGGTATGCATAATTCTGCCTGTGTTAATCAGTGTTATTGAAATTTTACCCTATCATAAACCACAATTGTTTATTTAAATAGTGTCTTTAAGAGTATAATCTGCGTAAGTCAACAATTCATGTATTGCAGTCTGAAGCTGGACCATACCTATAACTGGCCTATTATATAATTTCCTTTTCTTAACAGTGTTAAATGATGTAAATTGCATTCGTTAAATTATTGACACTATTGGCTAAATTATTGACACTATTACTAGATATCTTATGCCACAAGTGGGTGATTTATAATGTTCTTTATCATAAAATGATAATGATGTCTCTAAAATTAAGCAGAGAACTATATAAACTATAGATATATAAATGGATTTGGGGCTCATCCTTAATTCTAGCCCCAACCTAAGAACAGTAAGTTCTTTGTGGTAAATTGAGGCCCTGGGTGAGAATGTAATGCAACTAAATCCTCTACTCACAATTACAGACCTGAAAAGCCAACTCCAGTGGGGGAAGACCCTCACAGTTATAAGATATAAGGAAATCTTAATACACATCCTCCTGACAGAATAGTCCCTCCAATAACCCCCCCATAAAGGAATTGTCATAAAAGAGCTACCATAAAGGATGTCTCCTACCTGCATGTGGCTACACACTGTGTCTGAAGGTTACCTGTAGATAAGAGCAATCAGATTCTATAACCTGACCCATTGTAAAATGTAGCAAACTCTGTCACTTGTTGATAGGGATCTTAGATTACACTCCTGGGGAGGGCTCAAGGGCTTCTGACTAAGGTCAACTAGCACTAGGTCAAGATGATGATTCACCTCATTGCTTGTTTATTATGTGATCCACTTATAATACCCATTGACTAGGTAAAATGCTTTCTGTGTGACCTTTATGCCTTTTGAAAGATCTGTAAGCCCCATTTTATATACCCATTGGAAAGTGCATTCACCCTCTTGGTCCTGACATTGGGACAAGGGGCCCCTGTGTCCCACTGCCTGTCTTTGTTGTTTGCCACAATCACAAAGTCACACCCAAGGACCCATTGAAGGTAGGGAGGGGGGTGGCAGTACCCTCAACCCATATCTAAGAACTTAAATAATAAAATCCAAATCCAAAGGAGGACACAGTAAGGGAGCTTACACTGTGAACAACCTATTTGCAGAAGGCTATGGATGACAAGAGAAGCCACAGACTAGTTTGCGGGGATTATGCCTGCTCTGAATCCCCTCTGACCAATTGTCCTGCTATCAGACAGAGACTACTGTACAGTCAATTATGGCAGATGTAATTAGGTTAAAATGCAATGACTTATTAGATGATCTCCTCTTTGACCCATTTTAAATTTTTAAAATTTTCTGCTTTCTTTTCGATTGAGGCTTTTCTGTTTTGTTTAGTCATCATTGTTGGTTCTTAGTTTGTTGGTTTGTATTTTAGCTTACTGTTTGTGTTTCATATGATTTTCTATATATGAAATCCAGGTTAAGTAAATCGATACAGACAGTAACTGGATTGATAACTGCCTAGGGGCATGGCAGGGAGGGGAATATGAGGAACTAACAACTATCAGTAGGAGAAGAAAATGTCCTGAAATTGTGGTGATGATTGCACATATCTTAATATGAATGGATGATTAAATCATACAATATGGGAAATACATGCCAAAAAATTTTTTTTAAAAAGATAAAACAACAACAAAACTGAAAGGTCCACTGTCTCAACAATAACAAAAAGCTTAAGATCTCAATACATTGTAATAAAATCTATACCCAGCAGAGAGCTAATCCCTCCTAAACATGAGTCTAATATCGTGAAATGTTCAAGATCACAATATTTTATTCCATAAAAATTTCTGTAGAGAGAATAATAATATTCATGGTATATGGGGAATAATCATTATTACATGAAGTATATGTAATTTCTCCAAATAATTTTTCTTCCTTCTCATGCTGTCTATTATAACTACAGTGTCATGAATTCACTGATCTACATATATATGTAAATATGTGTGTATGAATACTTCAAAAACTTTGTGAAAAAAATACATTATCTTTTATTTCCACTTTTCCATAAACTGTATGGAAGCCCTTTCTTCAACATATACTTGCACTGAGAAACATGCATGTTTTTTACATCAAATTATGTAGAATCTTCTGCATGTATCAATTCACAAAATAGGAAAAATAGTAAACTCATGACATTAAAAAAAAATCAATTGTTATTTTTCCTTCTATTTGATGGTGGCAAGTGGTTTTCAACAACTAAACAAATGCAAAAATGCAGATTCCTGGGCCGAACAAATCAGAATTATTAGGGTTTTTGCTGATAGGTGCTGTGCAGCCCATTCTGACTCGTGAGGACTCTGTGTGCAGATGAATTTCTTTATAGCTTTCAAGGTTGTGACCTTTTCAAAGCAGCTTGTCTTTCACATTGCCTTTGGGTGGGTTTGAACCATCAACCTTTCTCTAGTGGGTTTGAACTATCAACCTTTCTGCAGTGGTTCTCAACCTTCCTAATGCTGCGAGCCCTTTAATACAGTTCCTCGTGTTGTGGTGACTCCCCAATAATAAAATTATTTTCGTTGCCACTTCATAATTGTCATTTTGCTACTGTTATGAATCGGGCGACCCCAGTGAAAGGGTTGTTCGACCCACAAAGGGGTCACGACCCACAGGTTGAGACTGCTGCTCTCGTGGTTGATCTCTTGGGAATTTTATTTTTTAAATAGCCATAAAGTCTACAGAACAGAATTATAAAATAGCAACAGGCCATGAGGATGCTGAAAGACAAAAAGGCGAGTGGAACATAGAGGAGATAACTATAGACTCTCTTTTTGATGAGCTCGAGCAGGGGAGAGTAAGTGACTTCAGCTTTACAGGGTCCGTAGGAACAACAGTTCTCCACCCCCGACCCCATACTCCACACTAACAAGCCACTACAATGGGGCACAACGCTAATATCAGTGACTTCAAGCTGTTGTTTGGTCAACTTTAAAAAAGAGACCAAAGTGAATGGAGATTCTATTAGCTTAAAAGAAAATGAAAATCAACTGCAAAGATGTGTGATGCTACAATGACCTGACATGAATGGGCTGCCACATTTCTTCTGTTTTACACATGTGATTTTCAACTTAGTTTGCATAATAGTACATGAGAAGTTTTAAACTTACGTTAATGCCTTTGAGTCTGATTTAAAAGGCCTGGGGCTAAGT